AAATAAAATGTAATTTTCTCTGTAGCACTTCATGGAGTTCATAAGCAACACACATTAGTTGTTCACACAAAGCATAAAGGTAAAAAAAACAATATAAAAATACTATTTGTGGCTCCCAGAGTTTTCTTTTGCGTGGAAACTGGGTCCAAATGGCTCTTTGGGTGTTAAAGGCTGCTGACCCCTGCCTTAGCAGATCATTACATGGAGAAACCTTTTGAGCGCGCTGAGGTGCTCACAGACACAAACTACAGCTTTCTTGGCTGCTACCTCAAACAACATTGTGCGCTGTTGGTCTTGCGAGCTGCACAATAACTTTCAATATTTAGTATTTACTGTTAGTTACAGTTACAGTTACCCAGGTTATTGCTGTGGTGTCGTGTTTATTGTGTTGCTCTCCTTTTGTTTGTTTGGGTTTTTTGTTCTCTCTCAGCAGGTGATCCAGATGATTTTTGTTTCGTGCCCTTCCTCACTGTCCCTTTTCCTCTCTGTTTTTCTTTCCCTCCCTCTCTTTCTTTTCCCTTTCCTTTCCCAGCCATGTCTGTCCCGTCGGTGACAAGTGAAAATAAATAAAATAATAAAGGTCAGTCAAATGGACTGAATGTCAAGGCTGTGATGATCCAGTTGGTAAAGTAAATCTGTTGGGCATCTTTCTTGGCCTTCAGATAATAATTCTGACGGTGAAAGAACCAAACAGGACAGACAAAAAAACAGTCCTTACACACAATTATCCTTTTGTTATCCTTTCAATCCTTTTTATTGAAATGAAAGAGCAGACGGTCAAAAGAAAACAAAACAATGGTTAAAAGTGACTCCATGTCTTCTGATATCACTGCGACATTTTCATGCAGAAGTTTCCCTCATCAGTTGCACCGATCATCAGTACATGTGAAGACGTTATAGCTGGAAATGGACTTCAGAGCAAAGGCATCAGCTCTCCTCATGCATCTTTTGAAGTACGAGTATCCTGCAAAAGAGCAAAGTGAAAACTCGTACTGTACTCTCACAGATTGGAATGAAAAGAAACACCATCATCAAAAATAACAATAATAACTTGGCCTCAAATTAGGAGAATATTTACAGAATGTACAAAAGATAAAGTTAATGTTTTATAAGTGTGTGTGTGACCATACTTACTGGGAAATGTGTTGATGACATAGGCACAGACCTCATCAGGTCTCTGGCAGGTCTCCACTTTGTTAAAACAGCTGCCACCAGCTGTTATTGGGACGCAGCGGTTACACTGCAGAGCCTCTGATAGACAGAGACAGAGATA